TTATGACTGACTAAGTTAGAATGTATTAAGACTGACTCTATGGCTGCACTGGACACTTGTTATTTAAAATTTTCAACTCTTCAGTTAACTAATTTTTACATTTGCAAATATTTTGCAAATACCTAGCCTTAATTGCATTTGAATCTAAAAAATTCATCGTTTTAAAACTTTAATTTACTAGCAAAATCCTACGACTAAAGTTATTAGCGAAGTACGTATATCAAGTGGCATATCAGAATTTTTGTAAATTTTTTACAATTTGGAGCGATTGATGCGATTGTTCTGAACTTTCTACAAAATTGATTGGTTAATAAAAATATTCTTTAATCATATTTGAAATAATTTAGGATTTTTTTGCCGAAGGTAAAAAAATCCTGAAATATTTCAAGTAGTAGCAACTGATGCAATTGTTATTTTAATAAATGGTGATTAGTTTAAACCGTTTTTAAACCAATTATTTATGATTTAGAGAACAATTGCATCACTTGCTACAAAGTGATAGGAAAATTTCGTAAAAATTCACAAATACGATTGGTTAGAGAATAAAAATATACTAAGTATAGCAAATATTACCTACATTCTTTTTTTAAAATAGAAGATATTTTAATTCCTCTTCTTCGAAATAGAGTAAACCTATTAATTAGGCTAATGAAAAATCAAACTTGCTATTCGCTGATAATTAGCCAATTATTGGCAACACAAAATAAAAAATCGTTTATAAACGAAGTGACTGCTATATGTAAAACTTAAACATCTTTCAATTCATGATAGAAGGAAAAAAATTTAAATTCACACTACCTCAAGAAGAACTGCAAGCTGATACTATATCAATATTAAAAGCAACGTTCCAATTATGAAACTTAAAAGAACAAAGAGAAAAATTTTAAACATTGATGGAAGAGAATACTCCTAAAATAGATCTAACCGTCTAGTCGGTTCTAGTCGGTCTAGTTATTGACGTCTAGTCGGTCTAGTTATTGACGTCTAGTCGGTCTAGTTATTGGCATTAATTTAATTTGTAACTGTTTTAATATAAATTGATTTGCGTGTAATTTTATTACTGGGTGTTTAAGAAAAAAAACAAATAAATAAATAAAATATTTCTACTTCAATACATTTGTATTTGGTAAAGAACACTTGCATCAGTTGCTTCAAAACGAAGGAAGTTTTGTCTAAGTAACAAATAAGTAATTATGGAGATCAAATAAAAGTTTAGATGCAATAATTTTTTTCGAGTTTAAAACAAATTCTACATTTTTTGAGAATATCAGATTCTAATTTTTACTTTAACTTTTTATTATGATAAAAAAGTGAAAAAGATACTTAAATTTAGCAATGCAAAAGGACTGGCGACACCCTAGATCCGCCCCTGGGTGTAATACTGAATCAAAAAAGGAACTTGCTTTTTCAGCTGAACGTTTAGACAGTTTAGTTTTTTTTTAAATAGAACTATTTTCTAAATTTTATAACTAATTTTAGTATTGATAATATGGGTCCTAAAGAGATTTTTTTAATTTAAAAATGTCCGTAAAAAACTGCATGTTTACAATAGCACATTTATTTTTAAAAAAGAAATTCCACACCTGTTTCATTGCTTTTTTTAAAACTCAAAGCCTTTATAATTATGTTTTTTTAAAGAACTTAGTTTTAAAAAAAAAAAAAATTAGTAATGTTAAAGTCAATTCCTTTTTATCTATAATCGCGGTGTAGAACCAAAATTACGCTTCCCTTTTAAGTACTCTTATGTTCTTGTTGAGCTTCCATACTCATAAAATATTCATGTCTACGAAACTATAAAGTATACGTCTTTGATAATTTTGTAGATTATTCGACCAGAAAGTCAAACATTTGATATCAGTATCATAGATATAAGTTTTATCATGTAAGTCTAAAAATAAATGTAAATTCAAAAGCGCGTGACATCATATTTTATAGGTGTTTTAGTTCAGAACTTTTTTATTCTACAAATTGTTATTCATAATATTTGTAAATGTGTCATAAGTCATAGAAATTATTAAATTAATTTAAGTATTGTCATGTAACTTGTGTTATTTATTGTGTCTACTTTTTTTCTTTGTGCCATATGTTGTTTCTACTTTTTGTCCTTGGTATGCTACTCTACATGTTTATGTAATTTATCAAGATGTAGAAAATGCATAATTTGTCTTCCAGAGAAAATATAGTTTAAAGATTTTTTAAAAATACTTATCTTAAAATAAGTACATTAAATGTAACACGCTAGGTTATATAAAACACGCAATGTGTTCGTGATGTTCTGCTCTAGTATGATAATTATTCATTCAACAAAAATGTGTCATACATGCTGGGAACTATTTATTGTTAATAGAAAGTTGAAATTTAGATATGTAATATGTATGATATGTTTATCATACGTTATTTCATTTGCCCTTGATTTCGTGTTATTGGTGTGTCCTTCAGAGGTAAAACAACCAATATTACAATAGAAGTTATTGTTAATCAGGGTATAACGAACATTCAACAGAAATTCTAGCTTTTTAGCCTCAAAATTAGCAAAAATATGACTTCAATCTCAAAAGTGACGTTTCTGTATTACTGTGCACAGTACATGATGCATCCAAATGCCGTTTTTCAGAGTCAAGGGCATTTAAACTTTTACTGAACTTTTTGTAAAACAATCCACTTTTATTACTTTTTTGCAAGTCACATCATATAAGGTACTTTATTGCAAGTCACGCTCATTCAAATTTTAAATCTCAACTGAAATGATTTAATCCAGTTAAAAATAAAGTTAAGTATCAAAATGATATACCTTATATAATATAATATAAATACCTTAAATAATCATATTTTCATAATTCCTCTAATATAACATCAGCAGCGAGAAGAAATTTAATCATGCAATATTCAACACCTTCTTTTCAGATTGATTTAGTATTCAGTTAGAAGCAGTGTAACTGATTATATGTTGTTTACTCTTTCAAATCAACTGTTAAAATTGGCCGACTTTAAAAAGTCAGTCATATTTGCCAAAAAATTATTCTAACATTTCAACTTCTAAACTATCAAATTGCTTGGCAAGTGAATGTTTAGAGAAAGTTCTTGTATTGATTATATTTAAATATTTGTCTATTAAATAAATGTCTATTAAAAATTTCTCCTCAATTAACGTTTAGATTTAGTCGAGTTCTCATTTTATTTTTACATGCAATGCTATTTGAATAATGATTTTTTTTAGCAATTAGCATTTAGTGTATATAGAGAATTAAAGCCACATTATAAAAACTTACCAGTCATTCAGACTAAAGACCACACAAAAAAGACAATTTAAAAAAATTGATGTAACAAACAGTAAATTTAGAAATTACCATTTAAAGTACATACAAAGTAAGAAGTAAAAATTTATAAACATACCAGCAATAGTAAATACAGATAGGACAAAGTATAACGAAAGGCATACTAAACAATAACCATTTCAAGAAAATGGCTTTGGGTAATTTATATACAATGGAAAAATTATAAATTTATGAATATACCAGTCATATAATAGTTTGGTTAGATATATACAAATTTAAAATTTTAGAAAAAATAAAAATAACACCACAGCAGGATAGGCCAAGAAACAACAAAAGGTCTAATAAATGGCCAATATTCAGTCAAGCCAAATTTTGAATTTTAGCAATTTTAGATGAAAAAGTTGTCTAACGAAGGTTTTTAAATAAGTTGCAAAAAAGAATTTTAAAGCAACTGACAAAAGTATTGACAATTCTTGAATAGTGTTTTTTATAATATTAAAAAACATTTCATGCAATTTTTGCATAAAACTGCTATTACTAAAACTAGTATATTATTGGCAATCTACACAGCGGCACGGTTATGTTTATTGTACATACAAAAGTCCAAATATAAACCAAAACTGTTCGTTCCGTCTGGACTAAACGAAAATTTTGGTCTATTATAGGTTCAGATTGTACAGTACTATGATACTGATATACATACAAAATAAGTGCTATGAACTTCCAAATTTGACCGCTTAATGTGCGTACTTATATGCCATTAGAATTTACTTTGCAAACTAGAATTTAAAATTGAACGTAAATATTCGACTATTCTGAAAACTTAGAAAAAATTTTTTTTTTCAAAATACAAACTCAATTTTTTTCATTTGAGAAGAAAAAAGAAAATAATTCTAACCTGGCGATATTGCGCCAATATTTTTGCAATACTGGCATGCTTATATTTATACGAAATTGGTCATGTCCAGAGATATTGGTGCGTATATTTAAAAATAATGGTTAAGAAATATTCTGCAGTGTTGAGAAAAAACACAGTTATTCCAGTTTTAAAAACTTTATTTTTTTCTTGGGAAATACTATTCATTATTTTTTTCTTGAAATAGGTTTTATGCAAGAACATCGTATGTGATCTCTAAGTAACTGTTTTAGATGTTTTGTTTTAACGATATCAGCAGGAATGTTTATAAGAACGTTTAGTATATTGAAAATTGAAAAAAGTTAATATTTTGCATATACTTTGTTATTTTCATATTATCTTATGTTTTGATACAAAATTTCGTTAGAATATAAACTATTCTTTAAAAAAAAAACTAAATAGAATGCAATGCGAAAGATGTATTGTTAAATAAAAAATACAAGTTCACAACATCAAAAATTACATACTACAAAAACTATCAAAAGTTCAAAAATTACAAAATTAAAATAATAAACTATGAAGTTAAATTCGAATGGCGTTTTTTTTTAATTCCTATTTCCAATCTAATTAAAATAAAAGAATTAAAACGATGAAAGCAAACAATCCAATGTAAAACCGATGCAGCAGTCGTTCAAGCTTTCAAGTAAAAGATTAAGGATTTACCTAATAAAAAAGTGTTACACAAAAAAGTAGAAAACTTACCTAAATATCCATTAATGACATTGAACATTTTAATGGAGCCATCCTGAGCTTCATACCACGAATCTCATGCGTAAACTTTGACATGTGTAAATACTTGTGGGTTGAAGTTTTGTACAGTATATACATTTTCGTTATTGATATATAAAGTAAAAGAAGCTCTTCCCGATTCAGCGTGTTGACGTATATGAATATTTATCCACTAGCCTTGTTGAAGTGGCTTGGATTTAAAATATTTATTTTTATTACTGTTTGTTGCAAAACCAACGTGAAACATTTGCTTATAAACCAAAATACCAGGAATTTGATCACCGTATTTTGAATTATCTTCTCCTATAGTCAAATGAATGACACTTCTAAATCTATCTGAAAAACTGTTGAGTTTTAAACCGAAATAAATATCAAATGATTATTCTAATTTTGACACAACCGAAACCAAGTTATTTTTCTTCAGTGTCTATTCAACTTCATTATCCACAAAATCTAATGTAAAGAAAAAACCACCTTTTAACTATCTTTATAATAAATTTAATTATAAGTAAACAGTCAAAAACCAAAAAGTTTCTTAAAAATAATGTTATTAAATAACTGTGATAAATCTTACATTTCGACTTTAGTACGGCTTTTGGTAAAGATTCGCCTATAATAACGTGCGATAAATAGAATCCATTTAAATTCAGTTAGACAATTCATTAAAAGTTAAAGTGTAAAAAATGAAAGTACTGTTTATGAAATTAGTTTAGATATAAAAGTAATAACAAATAGTGCATATAAAAGTTTTACGATGTACATTTTCAAATATTAAAATACAAAACGAAAAAGCAGACTCTTTGATACGCCGGATTTAAACGCGTTAGACAAAAATCGTAAAAAATAGTGTTAAAAAAAAGTAATACCAGGCTCCCCGTTTTCAAGAATGATATTTTTTATTGATCCATCTTGAGATGGATACCACGGATCGGAAGCAAAAACTTTGTCAAATTTTTGGGGTATGGCATTATTTTCAGAAAGTGCGTTTGTTCCATTTACGTTAACTGTGAAAACATATTTGTTATCGATACGTTGCTGACTAATAACAACGTTTTTCCACACATTGAGGGGAAGTGAATCAATATAGATTTCTCTATTCCTATTTATATTTATCGGTGCAGTAATGTGAAAACCTTTATAGTTAGGTTCATAGAGTCGTAACCAAAGTTCCGGAGTTCTGTCACCGAAGTGACTGATATCATTACCAACTGTGAAATGAAGAATACTATGAAAACCATATGAGTATGGCTTGGGTTTTAAATCAAACGATACCTTGTAGGACATAGCTAATACAGGAATAGTGGCTACTAATTCCGCTGTTTTTAAACTTGTTTCATAATCTCTAATCAGTTCATCTGAAAAACACAAACAAAAAAGCAAAATTAAAAACTTCAACTAAAAAACGAACTGAAACAACAAAAAAACCTGTTTAAAACAAAAATTATACTTTTAAAATAAAAAATTTGTATTACTGTGTAAAGCATAATACTGAATTTCTGAGAGATCGCAAGGTTAGGTTTATCTTGTTCTATTACTACTGATTGGATTATATAATTCAAAATAATGTTTTTCTACTACATTGAAACTTAAGTTATTATCAAAAAAGTTAGCATAAAAACAGAAATAATAAAACTCTTTTTATATGCTATGTCTAAGAAGTTTTTATTTTTTAAACCGGTGAATCTCTAAACTCAATAGATAACTCAAACTGCGAAAATGTTAATTGTTTCTTATATTTATTTGTTGGTATTATTTGAAACTTGTAAAAGTGTTTTAAATTTTAATGTTACAGTTACAATTTTTTTTTTAATTATTTTAATAAAAAAAATATAAAGTTCTCTGTAATGAAAGAAAAAAAAAAAAATTTTTTTTGATACCCTAAACCGTATGTAACCACGAATAGAAAAACAACACTATCATCACTTTCTAAAAAAAAAAAGTAGTTCGTTAATTAAGTCAAACTTATTTTGAAATACTTAAATGAAATTTAGAAAAAACGCAATAAGAAAATAAATTGTATCTTTTAATACCATTTTATTATCTGTTATCTGTATCGCGATCTCAGCATGGTTTGATAAATGTGCATAAGTTTACCAAATTTTACGTCTTTATATAGAGAGCGAGATTACTGGCGTGTGACGATTCAAGTGCTCTGTACAATTGTTTTTTAAAATAGATTTTTAATTTTATCTAATATTTTATTATTTAAAAATAACTTAAAAATTCTTTGATGTAAACTTAGAAACAATAATATCTCATTTTAAACAGATTTATGCAATTCTATTAATTTAATTAAGCCCTTTCAAATCGGGTCATTATTAAGGAGGTACCCCATTAATTCCTTTCAAAATTTTGGAAATGCAAATCACTTGAAGTTTTTCTAAACTTTATATACTATATATACTATGTATATATATATATATATATATATATATATATATATATATATATATATATATATATATATATATATATATATATATATATATATATATATATATATATATATATATATATATATATATATATATATATATATATATATATATATATATATATATATTGTTATACTATGTTCTAGGAAGTGAAATTTCAAACGTTTTAAATTCTGCTTTAACTTTTTTTTTTTTTTAATATTTTGATGCCTGAAAAACTTTATTTTATTCTTTCAAGTAAAAAAAATTTGTTGTATATTTTTATGTTTAATGTAAAAGATTTTCAATAAACATTATAGTAAAAGTTTTTCAAAAAACTCGAGGTAATGTTATTGAGGCAAAGTTTTATTAAGTATGAACTATTATGAATGTTTGATGATTTTTTACCAAGGAAACCAAAAGCTATCACTTGAATGCCTTACATTGTATTATGTTGTAATAAAAACTACTCAGCATTTGTTACAATGAGACACAACATTTTCTGAAATTGTGCTTTCTATCGAATTTGTGGGCAGTTTTTATCAGATTACTAAGTGGCCACGGACGTAAAAAAACGTCTTTTTAACATTTTATGCACATTTTAGACGTCTTTTAAACGTCTTTTGAACGTTCAAAATACGTCTTCTTTTTGTCCGGTACCCACTGGGTAGATTCCATTAACTTCTGTTTTATGCAGCAAATAATGTATTTTCAAACTTTTGAATTTCCAATGGTGGCGTAAAAGTGATATTTTTATGCGTAGCTTTTGTTTTTTGTGTAACTTTAGTTTAAGTTGTTGATAATTTTTTTTTAAATGTCATAATGTTGAAGACAGAAAACGCATAAGAAGTTATCATTCCCCGTTTCCATGACCAGACTATAAAATACATGTTAAACTTTATAGCATAGTTTTCTACTCGCAAACTAAAGACTCGTGCAGTGATTTAATCATTATAATAAAACAAACATGCTGACAAAGCATTACTGCTTCATGACTGACAGTTTTTCAAAAACTTAATGATTTTCAATACGTTCGCCATCTTGCCCTCCTTCTCTCTCTCTCTCTCCTTTCTTTTTTCTTACTGTTCCTTTTTATTTGTATGGTTTTTTAAGACCTTTATTTTTTAAATTTGCAAGGTAGTATACGTACCAGCAAATTTAAACATATAAGCCTTATCAAGTTTTAATCAGATATTAATGATGCTTGCATATAGTTGTTGAATAATTGCTGAGTTTTTAAATTTTATATGCGCAAGTAAATCTATATAGCTGTCTAAATCGCTTGATATCTGTTTTTCTTGATTTAAATTCTAAATTAAAAGAGATACGGTTAAAAGACGGGCGTTATTTGTCTACTTTGTAGAAACCTTTAATAGTTATCTAAATTTGAACTAAAAGAAGGTTTTGTTATTTCTACTGCACTTAAGTGTTTACTGCATTAAAATAACAATAATAAGTCTACTGCATTATAATGTTTTTAATAAATCTACTGGACTGAAATGTATTTTAATGCTATTTTAAAATAAAAACTTTTAAAGTAGCAAATATAATTTGAATAACTAAGTCGTTTCTGAAATAAGAATGTAAACAGGTTTATGTAACGTGGGGCGACAAAAGATTATCACATGAAAAGTGCTTTTTTTTGAAATAATTTTAGTGTTGCGTAAGTTACGTACGATCCCTCAGTCTTATCGGCCGATATGTTCAAACAGCTATATTGTTTCTACAAAAATTACTTTTTTTTAAATTTGTTATCGCCTATTTTTCAATATACTACTCATAATTTTTAAATATTTTTGTAATTTCAATATTGAAAAATATCTAATTTATAATATAATGCATTAAAAGAACTTGTTTGGAAACAGTATCAGCATTTCATTTTTTTTCACTTATAAAATTTTGTTTAAAAGGGAACGTTAGCTTAGAAGCTTATAACTCTGTTTTTATAAACTAATTATAAGCTAAATGTTCTTTTTAATAATTAATTGAACCCTATTGCTTATTGTTAAGCTTGTTAGTTTTTTTTTGTAAGTCCTTTAATTAAAGAAAATAGTTTTATGATTTTTCTGAATAGATTTTGATAAACGATTTTTGATAAGAAAATAATTTCCTAAAGAATTTAATAATAGTTTTATAAATGTTATTAGGGACTTCAATTAAATTGACAGAAAGTTTATCAGTGACAAAGTCGAAACCAGACGACTTAAAAAAATTCGAGCATTTGATAAAATCAAATATCAAGTTCTTACTAATCAAATAATAATCGATTTAGTTAAATAAAACCCAATAAGCACAAGACGTCCATAGTACGTACTGTTTAGGTTGATTCGTCTTAGTCCAAAATGGTACGTTTTTTGGCGTCGTTCAACGGTCGTCCAAATACGTCACGTTTTTTAAATGAACGATTTTGGACGTCGAAAACGTTCCAGTCAAAAATATAATGCGTGAATATAAATTACTTTTTATATAGGGCCACAATTTTTGTTGCCTATAATCGGTACAGCAAGATTTGTTACTTACGAAGGGTTATACAAAGTTTTGTGACTTGCAACCTCTTTTTAGACAGCTGTGGCTAACCTTTACACATTGTCTAGCTATAAAAAAGATTTGTTTTGTTTCGTTAATTGAATTCAAAATCTAAAGTTGTTTACTGAAAATCAAGCATTTATTCTTATTTACATTTAAAAAAGTATTTATTAGGTTTATATTAATTATTTCAAACTATTTTTTGTTTTTGTAGTGTTATTTATTTTATTTTTTTCAGCTCATAGTGAGTAATTATTCTATTTACATTACGAAATGGATACTCTGATGAATTTTAAAAAGCGTTAAACGGATTTTTTATAATAAAATCATAATATAGTTT